CATGAGGAAAGCAGTAATAGAATTCCTGGTGACATGAGAATGCAATAACTGAATTCCTGGTGACATGAGAGAGCAATAACAGAATTCCTGGTTACATGAGAGAGCAATAACAGAATTCCTGGTGACACGAGAGAGCAATAACTGAATTCCTGGTGACATGAGAGAGCAATAACTGAATTCCTGTTGACATGAGAGAGCAATAACAGAATTCCTGGTGTCATGAGAGAGCAATAACAGAATTTCTGGTGACATGAGAAAGCAATAACAGAATTCCTGGTGACATGAGAGAGCAATAACAGAATTCCTGGTGTCATGAGAGAGCAATAACAGAATTCCTGGTGTCACGAGAAAGCAGTAACAGAATTCTTGGTGACATGAGAAAGCAATAACTGAATTGCTGGTGACATGAGAGAAAAATAATAGAATTCCTGGTTACATGAGAGAGCTATAACTGAATTCCTGGTGACATGAGAGAGCAATAACAGAATTCCTGGTGTCATGAGAGAGCAATAACAGAATTCCGGGTGACATGAGAAAGCAGTAATAGGTGACCTAAGAAAGACTAAACATTTACCTTTGTGTATAAATTTATTTATTTTCACTGAAACGTTATTTTTCTATTCCATATGTTTTAGGTATAGCCAGTGAATCACAAATAACATTCTATATATTTCTATTGTATTTTATATTTTCTCATAAATTATATAATATCTATATAGTTATAAAAAATAACATAATAAATAATTATACACAATATGTCTATGTATTGCTCCAAACTATGTTTAATTATTTATTAATAACATATACTTTGGTATGATTTTTTAACTTAAATAAAATATTTATAACTATACAAAAAAGGTTTATTTCCGCTTGACTGATACTCCATCTCCAAATCACTACATTGGGCATTAAACAACTAAAATAAATAATGATCCTCTCTTGCATCCGTTGCCATGGCAATAAGAGTATTATTATTATAATATACAACGAATTACGGCAGTGAGCAGTCGGTAGCAATTCAAATTTCGAAGAAAAAAAATCACGAATAATATATTTTGGTCCGTGATTAATAATTTGTTTCCACAAGCAATAAGTATGGTAGGTTATTTTATATATAATAGCAAACGTATTAAACGCCAGTGACGCGGGATCCATGGACCGATCAGCCACCCGCAAGTCGGTGATGAAAAATGACTTTCCCCGGCTGTCATCAGGCGGTGCCTTTGTGGTTTTAAAATTTTACTATTTCCGACGAAAACAGCAGGACTTCTAAAGTCATGTGGCGGTACTGATAGTAGTTTCTCTCATCTATGTCTGTAGTCGTAATTGTACTACCTGCATTCAACTGAGCTATCTTTTAACGGAGATATCGTGGAAATAAAATATATCACAGCAATTTGCTTGAGGAAAAAAATGGTTGTTTTTATTAGCTGCCATAGTGATAAAACGTAACACCAGCTCACGAACTACGTAGGTTAACCCTAACTTGCATTTACATTGGATAATATACTGTACCGTTAAACTGATCCGAATCCCTTCGGTTCAGCGAACAACTGAAGCTGTTCATCGTTGCATTTTTATCGTCAGCTGTTTTAGACGTCCCCGTGACCCGGAATTACTTGCTCAGACAGGAAGTATTGATATAATCAAGCGTTAATGACATTGTTTGTCGGCATGCGGCATACACAAAGCTATCCGATTTCAAAGGCGCTGAATAGAAATTAAGTCGAGAAACGAACAGCCAATTACAAACTTTTATTAGCATGATCACGTGTCAACGCTGTTTATGACACAGCCGGAGTGTGCAGTCGCTGATAATCTTCCGCGACCCATGAAAGTACCCGTTAAACTTTGAACAAGCGGTACATTTTCAAACTAAAATTACTTTTCGCGTCATTATTGCATCGCATTGATTTGGACATAAATTTGGTGAAATAAAATTACGCCAACTCGAAGAATATCGCGAAAGACCTCGGCGGATGGGTTTCTTTGTTTATATGTTAAGCGTCTAGTAGCATGTGTATATGGAAATAAGTGGTAGGGTTCTATTACTCGTACAGGCAACCTGTATTATGCCATTCGCTAACTATGATGTTTGGGTTTTAGCCGATTATCAGATATCTACAGAACATTGTTACCGTTTCATCGTGGATCGTTAACGGGAGGAAGCCATGCCCGTCGTTTGCAGGTCATGCAGACGGTCTGTCTCTGCTACGACGGTGGTATTTCGAGTACTGTATTGCTCTACACCGGTGACCGTATTACTACTGTTGTCGCTCGTCAACGGTGAGTATAGAGGGATTATCGTAATACACTGAAGTATGAACCACTACACGGTGTGACAAATATAGTCAAAGGACTTGAATGGGACCGCAAATCGCATTCATACAATTAGGGGGGGGGGGGGTCGTTCGATCGACGATCGTAGGCTCCGACCTTCGACATTGCCCGTGTGTATGTAGCCCTGACTTCCCGGTGATCTCCACAGTATCACTGAAACTCTCATTTTATCACTGGGGCAATCTCTCCGTGTTAAACCCCGCTGTGTATTAAAACAAAACTTGGTATTTTAACAGCGCGAAATCACTTGGAGAAACTCACACTAACTCTAAGTATGAATGTTGATTAAAAATAAGTGTTTCTCAAGAACCGAGAAATATATACGGCTTTAGGTATGTCCTGGAGTGCGACGCAAGGTAATACGAACCGAGGCTGCGATTGCTACACAGTTTTCAGCCCCACTGCCATTGAAAGGTTTATCGCTTCGCGAGGGGGTCGTACATTGTGAAGGTAGCTTCGGTCGGATAAATGTTACACTACTCAACGTTATTTCGTGCGACGACAGAAACATTACAGTTTATGCATGCACTTTTGCCACTCAATGATGGAAGAAAGCTTTTTTATACTTGCTCGAGCATTTGTCAAACCCGAACAATACCGCCAATGTAGGTATTTTCTTGTAATGATCGGGGCTCGACAGCCCGTCCCAGCTCGATGTGACAGTTCACAAACACCGGCGAGCGCGACATTGTTTTTGTAGCGTCGCGGTCTCCGGGGTTTTATTGATAAATTAAATTAAATTATTTTCATTACTGAAAAAAATAACATTGATACCATTTATCCCCCCGAAATTACCCCTCTTATAGTCAGTTAATATAATAATTCTCTAAACTATGCGTGGGGTCAATTAAATTGTGTTAATTCGGACGCTGGTTAAAAAGTAGCAGAGACTGTAAGTAAAGTGCAAACAGTTTACGACTTCTCCGTGCATCTGAACCCGCCTAGTAGCCAGCTGGTAGCGCACATATTCACACAACCGTCGTTGACACTATTTTACCCAACACGTTGGGACTTTGAAATGTTTGCGCTACGAAAATAATGTATTTACCAGTGCTATTATGCGTCGACAATAGTCTTTGCATACGTGTTCTGAGCGAGTAAAAGGGGAGTCTTGTTTAGGGCTGAGAGTGATACCGTATTGTGCGAATGACTCGACTTCATTTATAAATGTTTTCTCTCTTTTCAATATTCAATTCTTTAACTTTATGTTCAAACTCAGACATTCGCTTCTAACCCGAACGTAAATTTCAGGGATTTCCTGTTATGTCGTCTATTTAGTTCGCCCACGTTATTTTGTTAGCTTATCGGCAACAGCAACTACGACCGTACGTGCCGCTATCGAATTGCAAGAGGGGAGACCGGCGTGGATCAGAATTATGCCTAAGAATTCGCCTTTGTTTGACTGTTTGCGGCTTAACATGGCTAAAGTCGGGTCGGTTTGCTAAGAGACTGATCTAGGTAACAGTAATAACCCCTGTGCGTGACTGGGACCAAAGTTCTTGACTGCGTTCGATTGCCGTTTTAAAGCGTTTCGCACGACTTTTTTTGGACCTTGGATGTCTAATTTCAATATTTGTAAAATGAAATAAAAATCCTTGTCGGCATGTTTGATATATATAATCTAATTCTGTTAGCTTTTTATAGTTTTTTTAATGTTGTTACATGTAGACAAGGCTTATCAGATGTTCAATAAAACTGAGAAAAGAGTATGAGTAAACATGACTAGAACAAAAAATCACGCATTAGCATATAAATGAAATAGTGTAATTTTATTAGGCTCCAACACAATGAGAAGAAGCCATACAACAGTCTGTTTAGATGAATACAGTTTCACAGTAAAGCCAAAAAAACAAAACAGTGAAAACCAGTTCACACTATCATTAAACATGACATTGACACACAATAGTGAGAATAGTGGTGCCAATCTATTTGAAACTAGAGAACTTGTCTGCAAGAGTCCCCCTGGCTGGAAATTTAAGCATGCATGCAACTCCTTTCTTCTCATGTGTGAAAAAAAGTTAGCAGGACAGTGCAATCTAGTCTAGTGTTTTGGCTTGGCTGCCAGACTGAATGTGTATGTCAATACACTCCCATTACCAAGCCGATATCTTACAGTAAAAGTCCTGGTTTAGGAATTCTATCAAAGAAACTGATCCAGTGCCAGGAAATTTAGAATAATTTAAACGACAGGATGATATTTTTGATGATAATTTCACTGCAAAACATTTTCTAATGATTTGAATATCTGTTGACTAGGAAGGGACGTTTTACAAATATATATATATAAGAGAGCAAAAAAAGGCTGCTTAACTCGCTAGGAAATATTCTTGCTCTGACAGTTGCAAGACTTTAAAACGAATATCAATCCTACATATTGAAATGTTTTTTTTTTGCTTGAAAAAAAAAATTGTGTTGTGGCTGCAAATGCTATACCGTACTGTTTTCTGTTTTCCAAACAACTGACCTAGATGGCCTAGCACTAATGTATATGATTGGAGTTTGTGTTTTCTAACTTAAGCAGTGTTGCGGTTTAGTAGTACTTTAATATGTTTAACTGCCCGACAAACAAGACAGGCTCTCAGGTGCCAGGATCCCCAATGTACGGCCATAAAATTTTATTAACCCACAGTCTTTGCAATAAAATCCCCTACAAAAGCTGTAGGCTTCGCTAAAAACAAAGGCCGAGTGGCCATGAACGCTTTGCACTCTGCCAAATGGATGATTTTTACGGTGCGAAAACTGGGTGAAGTACAAAGTTGTAAATACGTCGGGAACATTTAATTGAACAATTCCTGTGTACACGGGTGTATTGGTGAAACATCAGAAACATTCATTATGTGCTTAAACAAGGTCGAGATAAGAAATACATTAGTACCTCGCTATGGTACAAAGGGTGGCAGTAAACCCATTCCGTTGTTAATGTCTGATAATGGTAGCGTTAAAGATTGGAAAAAAAACATCTCTCAGCCCCTCCCTAAACACCCTGTAACCCCCTCTCTTCTGAGAAAAAATGGAGCAAGTGGGTTTTTATGACCCCCTAGTGAAATATTTGCTAGGGACATAAAACCAGATTTTAGCATGTGTATGTTTCTTTATGACCGGCATCAATAAAATGGTTTTTACCTATCCAATTCAGAATTTTTATGTCCTCTTCAGAAAGGCTGTCTAGCATGTTGAGAATTCCCTGGCTTCAAGACTCCTCAAGTCTGTCTTTATTTTCCCCAGTCCCTTTGATAATTTTCTCAAAACACTGCTCATCTTCCCAAATATACATAACTGTTTAAAATAGAAAATATTAGGTCATGCATTCGATGAAATTGAATAAAAACTTAGATTTAGTATGTATAAATTAAATGTGTATCCCTACACCTATCATCCTAGACACTCCTGAATTTCTATTTAATTAAAAAAAAAATTAATAAAAAATATTCTAATGTTTAAAGATAACAATTACAAAGATCAGAATCTCTGTTATTAAAAAAATATTTTTTTTTTTCTTTAGAAAGTGAATTGATGAAATAAATAGGTACTTTATTCGAGTGGGAGAACAGATATTTTGAAGCAGGAAATACATTGGTGTATCAGATATATCTGATCATAGGGATACCATTATTAATAAATTTAAATTTGAAGCTGCTATCACTCTTCTACTAATTTTTTTTTATTTTCAGTTAATAAAAATTATTAATAGAATTGTTGCAGCAATTCAAACTTCATTCATCAAATAATAAAACAAATCTTAAACAATATTGAAAAGAAAAGAATTAATTCTAGTAAACATTATATCTTTAGCGGGAAAGCTTCTTATGCAAGCTTAATATTTTTCACAAATACAATACAATCTTAGCGTACATGTCTTGTTTATTTCTTGGCCTCCTTGCGGAAGATGAGTCTAAGTTAGCAGGTGGCAAGACCAAAGCTTTCGACAGTGTAATAGGGGACAATGGGGACAAAAATCAGCTAAAATTTTAGCTCCAAGCTGTTCAGATTTTAAAAGGACCACTTCGCCCACCCCTTCTGGGGTTGACCAATCAGGAAGCCAGGTGAAGTGGATTAGAGATAGCTTGCCCCAAGCCTGGGATTTTCCATCTTTCACTTTATCCCCCACCAGAGGGAAAAGAACCATCAAACAGAAGGGCGACCTTTTTAAGGTTAAACCCTGCCAGGAGTAGCTGAAAACCCCTCCAGAAATGTTGCATTTTTACAGAACTCCCCTTTTGTAATCATCTTTGGAGTAATCCAAGCTTTTAGAAGCCCTCTAGCAATCTCAACAAAACATGTCCCTTTTTTAGGACGTGCCCTCATTTGCACTTTCAAATATACCCTATTTTATGTTCACATTTTCTTTAAACAGCAATTTCTTTCACGAATTGTCATTCACATGTGCGTAGGGATGGGTCTCTATGGATTTTAACTGTACTGTGTTTTAAACTGTCCGCTTCCTTACAGTTATGTCAACAGTGTCTAGTGAACGACATTTAAGTACGTTTACATAAATACATGCAGACAACAAAAACAAACAAACAGCTGGCCTAGAAGAAATATCAGTTTTAGAACAGCCATCTCTTCATACTCAGACATCCAATAGTTTAGACGAACGGACATACTATTTCTACGAAGTCACAATCTCATGCAAACATGTAAAGATAACGTGTTAGATGAGGTTTTCCAAAAATGAAAAAAAAAAAACATGTGTTATCTGATTGTCTTGTTTCTCAACTCATAAACAAGTTGTTTACAATATTGATAGTTTGAACTTGAATGCAATACTGTAGAATACTTTATTTTCGCTTGGAATTTATTTTCACTATTTTCGCTGAAGGGATGATTCTGTGAAAATAAAATCCAGCGAATATACTTTTTTTCCTATATTTCACATTAAACTCATCAAAAATCAGTGAAAATAAATTCCATACAAAATGCCCAAAAAGCCTTTTCAGCGAAAA